AAGAGATCGTGTGAGGAAGAAATGAAAGCTTGTGGGCAGTCGTGGTTCCAGGTCCAAAAGACTGCAGAGAAGAGTGTGCAATGGAGGCGTGCTACTGAAGCCCTATGTTCCACTAGGAACCCAAGGGAAAAATATAAATAATAATAATAATGTCTAATCTATGTCTTCACTAAACAAGGCCATATTGTGTAAATTCTATAACCTAACAAAGAATGATATCGCTGACAACCTGGCCCGTGTAATGTTAAATAAGGAGAGACAAAGATACCTATAAGCATTCTCATTATCATACAGTAACATAGAAATTGGGGAAATTGAAGACCAATTAACAAAAATATTTGATTCGATAGCTCATCGTAAACTGTGTCAAGAGAATAAGTGTTTCAGAATCAAGCTTTTAGTAAGTTGACGTATTTACTAGTCATCCCCGTACAGTACAACATTATCAAAATACATTTTGATTGGCCTTAATTCGAAAAAAAGAAAGTAAAACTGATTGATTGACTAAACAGAACTAGTTGAAATATGTAGTAATTAGTACACTCGTTCAATGTAAACCGATTAGAAACATCATATATCGTGGGTGCGCACTGCTGAGGACTCCCTTACTAGGACGAAATAGCTGTCTAGTGCTCACAGGTTTACATTGTTTCTCCAACTGATGTCAGTCTGAGATGAATAGCAACTTGAAATAAATAAATGCACCAATACTCAAAGTAGGACAATAAAATCATTTTGAGTGATAAAACTAAATATTCAGACTGTAGTAAGAGAGAAATGATGAGTACATATGCCTCCCTTTCGACACAATAACTACCGACAACACTCTCTCTATGATGTACTACAACTGCTTTCCATGATGATTAACTTGTTAATTATTCATGAATTTACCAATCCAATGTGACATCTCTTTCAGTTGGATGGTTTATCAAAACTGCATTCGCCTAGTGGCGACGGTCAAGACTACTCACTCTCTACATTCACATTCAATTTTATAACAGATATTCTCATGAAGGTTTCCGTCTCATCACGTGAATACACCAACGTGGACCTAATCACAGGAGAATTTTCGTTAGACCTACAATATCCAGATGACATGTCGTGTTATTTAAAGACACTGACAAGATACAGAGTCTTCTCAACACTTTCAGTGGCAATTCGAGAATGTCTGAGATGCACTTCTCACCACACAAATGTAAATTGTTGCTCCACGATTCGTCTTCAACGGTGCCCCTATGCGGCTAACAATACACAGTGTAGTGATTCAGTGTGTTGACCACTTCACTTACCTACGTAGTGCGATCAACCCTGTCCTCGTGGCTAGGCTCAGTGACCGATGAAATCTCTGCACGAATACAAAAGGCTCGGCTAGCTGGCTGTCTGGCTGGCTGGCTAGCTGACTTTCGCCAACTTACACCACTTATGACACCCACCTGATATCCCATTGTCTATCAAGGGTCGCATGTACTGCACAGCAGTACACTCTCTCCTACTCTATACCTGTGAAACATGGCCATTGAGTGTGGAAGACATGAGAAGGCTTCGAGTGTTTCACCACCGTCGACTTCCTAGTACAGGCTGTGTTCCGTGGAGTCACCACACCACGTGAGTAACACAGAAGTCAGGTGTAGAGTTGAAGAGAGGGAGAAGAGGTCAGTTGAGTTAGTTGACACAGATGTGAACCTTCATCGACTGAGATGGATAGTTGAGACATGTGTGTGTTGTGTATGCCTAGTCGCCGATTGCCTCGTCACACAATGTTGGTCGAAGTAGGTGCAGAGTGGAAAAAGGCTGTTGGCTCTCGGTTACACTGAAACATGGCATCAATGTATGAAGTCTCTGACTAATGGTTTGAGCCATGTGGGACGATGTAGACTAGCCGGTTGGGGTGGGGTCCGTGGGACAAGAGGGACTAGTGGTTGTAGACTGACTCTAGGTGATCACATGGCTGAGAACCGAAGTAAGTGGTGCAGATGTATCCCCACACACATTATCCTCATCTTCACGACGCTATACCGAATCTCACCATTTTCTCATTCTTCCTATCTCTCCCTCTTTGAGTACTTTATATTTCTCTTGACTGAATTTTCTTTCCTTCATCTTCCACTTCACTGTCTTTTTTCTTGATGTGGTGATATGAGGTGTTGTGGCATCTCGGAGTGTTACGTAGTAATGTCTGGTCGTATGTTGAATTGAATTAATGGATGATGAAGCGTTTTGTTGGGTGATTCATACAGGAATGTCTCCTTAATGGTCATCTGTGGAGTTGTAGCTCTGCGGAGTCCGCAAACTGACCGCCCAATTTTAACGTATACCAGTTCATCTAAGTTAGCAAGCCAAATTTAGTTGGTTTAAACGATTCACCTGTATGTGTTGAATTTGTACGGCTTCGCAGATGATGAGTTCAACCTCAGATGAATAAAATGACTTTTTAGTATGTAGATCGCTTTGACTTGGCTATCAAAATCTACAGAGCAGTGTAAGTGGTTTTACTGGTGTATTTTGATTTCCACGATCTTGAAGGATTCAATCAAAGTCTACACATAACACTGTAGCATAAAGCAATAGTCGATTATTTCACAAAATATTGTCACATTTTGATCGGAAAATCATAAAACTTCTCCCATGTGGACTCTTTCATTATCATTTAACAGTTTTAAAACTTCCCATCATGTAAATTAGAACAGCATATATCAGCGAACAACATTACTCCTTTCAGTTAGATTCTCTTCAAGCTTTAGTCTAATATAAACAGTTAAATATACATAAAAAGCAAACCAATCATGAAGATTTATCGGTCAATAATGTGTTAATAATAATAATAATAATAACGTTGACAGACACCTGGAAACACCGGCTTTGGTGGCTTCAACATATATGTTACGCATAGCATCTCAACGGCTGCCACCCCGTTTATTATTTGTTAACTCTGAGGCTAGATAGAAGAAGCTGAAGGGTGGTCAGTGTATGACGTGGCGCCACCATGGGATGAAGGATAGTTATCTCGCGTTAGCATTTGTTGGTTCATCACGACTCTCTGGGTGGAGTCTAAGAGATCACATAATTCACTGGCTTAAGACGTTATCAGAAATGGCTTGGAATCGATAAGAGTGGCTTCCTTCATTCATCAGCTGTTGAAAAGTAATGAATATTTCCTTTCGAAAGTACGTTACTAGACTGTCCTTCTAATCATTCTATTCTTATGAAGTTTTATTTTTATCCATTTCCCTTTGCTTTATGTCTTTATAACGTTGTTATATAATCTTGTGTGGCGCATTTCTTGGTTCCCTTGCTGTACCATATTTGTATTCTAATAATAATAAATAATAATGAAAGGATATAATGAAAGTTCGCTTATATGTCTTGTTGTTATTATCATTTGTCCGGAAATTAAGGCTCGAAACAAATACAATACAGGAAGTCGGCAGTTTTATTAAAAAGTTGTGATTTGTTAGGGTGGCGGAGGCAGTCAGCAAGAAGCCTTTAATATGACACAGAATGTTTATTGCAAGATATCCTTCCTAAGGGGGTATTGCAGAGTGTATATATATATATATATATATAATTTGTCCCTTTGGTTCCTAGTGGAACATAGGGCTTCAGTAGCACGTCTCCATTCCACACTCTTCTCTGAAATCTTCCGAACCTGCCTCCACCACTACCAACAAGTTCTCATTTCTCCCTCACACGATCTACTCCATGTCACCCTCACCTCAAACGACCAACTTGTCGTATCTCGCCTACGTTCCACTCGAGTGCCTGGCGTGGTGTGTGATGTCCCCAAACCGCCTTCTCAGTGTATGCCCAATCCATCTCCACTTCTTTCCAGTGCATATTTGTTGAGCGATAGGTTCTTGCTTCATTGGTTCGTTGCCAGACAGCCAGAGTTCCTCCTTGCTTATTCTTTCTCGCCTTCTCATCTGAGCTTCAGTAACCAGCCAGCGTAGGCAGTTGTTGATGAATATCTGTAGTTTGTCGGAAATCTCTTTCGTAACCCGCCAAGCCTCTGAACCACATAGAAGCACTGACTTGATTGACATTGGTGTTGAAAATCCGGATCTTGTCTACACTTTATGCTGAGTGCAGTGCAGAAGATTTCAACAGTGGTTTCAGGTTAATGAACACCTGTCTTGCTTTTCCGATCCTGGCCTTGACGTCTCCGTCTTTGCCGCCACCTGTAGTTGAAACGATGCTGCCTACATAGATGAAAGAGGCTACTTCCTTTACGTCTCTCCCCTTCATGGTGATTGGAGCTTATCGTCGTTGTTGTTGGTGGCGTTGGTTGGGTATCATCATCACCTCTATCTTCTCTACATCCACTTGAATTCCCGTCTTCCTTCGCTGACCTGCCTATGCTGTCAACTTGTTAGTTTTTGCCGCCAGATCTTTGAGTTTGTGTGCCATTAAACACGTCATTGGCGAAATCCTAATCTTGGAGGATCTTTTCCTCGGTACAGCCAGCGTATGCCCCTCCTCTCGCTCTTCACTTTTTGCTGTATGATGCAGTTCACTACAATCAGGAATATGATGGGTGATAGTAGGTAGCCACCTTGTCTTACTCCTGTCTTCACTTCACTTCAAAGGCATTACTGAGCTTTCCATTGTGAATTACTTGGCATGTGGCGTCTTCATATAGTTGTTGAATGAGGTTGATAACGGTTTGTTGTATTCCATAGTGTTGAAGCAGTTGCCTGCCAAATTACTTCTCGATCGACGCTGTCGAAAGCCTTCTCAAAGTCGATGAAGTTGAGGTAGGGGTATATACGCCAAACAGACGAACGAATGAACTCAGTAATTACGTGTATTAGTTAATGAGATGTATTTATTGTGTAAGGGCGGCTCAAATCTCAGTAATAATTGGAGTAGTGTTCAAACTCATTACCCACTGGTTGTAATTTGAATGTCTAAACTAGTAAGCCACACAATTCTAATAGAAATAGTAAAATTATCAGAAATATGAAACTTTTGAAGAAAAGAAAAAAAGGGTTGAATATACTTACCATGCATTTCAGTTATACGTGAGATGAGTTCAGTTTTTGTTCCAGAAGGTGAAATTTTATTTTCTTTGCAAATTTTTTTCAATTCACTTAACTTTTCAGTGAATAAGATTATTATGTAATATACTAGTTAATACCTTTAGTTTGGATAAATCATCGATATTTGGTAAAGCCTCCGACATACTATAAACTCATATACCAAATATCCAAGGGACTAAAAGTAAATTTTTTTTCAAAAAAAAAACAGCAAAATAATAGGGGAGATAAAAACAAGTATACTTGAAAATAATATCGAATTAACTAGGGTGATTATATTTTAAGTCAAGAAACGGTTAGATTTTGTAGGGAGAAATATATGTGTACATCAATGTGAATTCTGTATGACAGATGAGAAGTCAGAAAGTACTTCACATGTAGGACATATTTCTCATCATCATCATCATCATCATTAATATCAACATAGGAACAGACATTACTACGTAACACTCCGAGATGCCACAACACCTCATATCACAACATCAAGAAGAAAGGCAGTGAAGTAGAAGATGAAGGAAAGAAAATTCAGTCAGAAGAAATATAAAGTACTCAAAGAGGGAGAGAAAGGAAGAATGAGAAAATGGTGAGATTCGGTACACCGTCGTGAAGATGAGGATAATGTGTGTGGGGATACATCTGCACCACTTACTTCGGTTCTCAGCCATGTGATCACCTAGAGTCAGTCTACAACCACTAGTCCCTCTTGTCCCACGGACCCCACCCCAACCGGCTAGTCTACATCGTCCCACATGGCTCAAACCATTAGTCAGAGACTTCATACATTGATGCCATGTTTCAGTGTAACCGAGAGCCAACAGCCTTTTTCCACTCTGCACCTACTTCGACCAACATTGTGTGACGAGGCAATCGGCGACTAGGCATACACAACACACACATGTCTCAACTATCCATCTCAGTCGATGAAGGTTCACATCTGTGTCAACTAACTCAACTGACCTCTTCTCCCTCTCTTCAACTCTACACCTGACTTCTGTGTTACTCACGTGGTGTGGTGACTCCACGGAACACAGCCTGTACTAGGAAGTCGACGGTGGTGAAACACTCGAAGCCTTCTCATGTCTTCCACACTCAATGGCCATGTTTCACAGGTATAGAGTAGGAGAGAGTGTACTGCTGTGCAGTACACGCGACCCTTGATAGACAATGGGATATCAGGTGGGTGTCATAAGTGGTGTAAGTTGGCGAAAGTCAGCTAGCCAGCCAGCCAGGCAGCCAGCTAGCCGAGCCTTTTGTATTCGTGCAGAGATTTCATCGGTCACTGAGCCTAGCCACGAGGACAGGGTTGATCGCACTACGTAGGTAAGTGAAGTGGTCAACACACTGAATCACTACACTGTATATTGTTAGCCGCATAGGGGCACCGTTGAAGACGAATCGTGGAGCAACAATTTACATTTGTGTGGTGAGAAGTGCATCTCAGACATTCTCGAATTGCCACTGAAAGTGTTGAGAAGACTCTGTATCTTGTCAGTGTCTTTAATTAACACGACATGTTATCTGGATATTGTAGGTCTAACGAAAATTCTCCTGTGATTAGGTCCACGTTGGTGTAGTCACGTGATGAGAGGGAGACCTCCATACGAATGTTTATGGTAAAATTGAATGTGAATGGAGAGAGTGGGCACCCTTGACGGACACCACTCGATGAGCATACCTTCGTGGACATCTCACCATAGGCTCTAACACGCCCACAAGTTCTCGAGTAGAGAGCCTTCAATAAGATGATATACTTACTCGGTACGCATTTCACTGACAGACATTGCCATAAGATTTCTCAATCAACGGAGTCGAATGCCGCCTTCACGTCAAGAAATAAAGCTATTTTCGAGCGTCGGTAGGTGTGTCTGTGTTCCAAAACCTGGCGCAGTGTGAACATTTGGTCGATACACCCACGGCCGGGTCTTAAGTCTGCCTGGGCGTTTTAGGCTTGCTGTTCCCGAGCTCCACTCAGGTGTCGAAGAACCATAAAACTTAGAATTTTAGACACTATGTTCCTCAGGGTGATTCCTCTGTGGTTATCACAAGAAGACTTCTCGCCTTGCTTGAAGACTGGGATAATCAGTGATTTAAACTAGTCAGAGGGGATCGTATTTGATTCCTATACACTGGTTAACACTTCCGTCAACCTGACTAAGAGCACTCCACCACCAGCCTTGTATAATTCTGGAGTTAGTCCGTCTGGTTCTGCCGCGCTTCCTCGTTTCAGGTTACCTACCGCTCTTTCGACTTCTGCTCGTGTTGGGGAGCGGGCCTTTCTGAATGCTCCATTCAGGATCCGACTGGATAGCGGGCAACGCAGTGTGGTGGCTAGAGGCCAGTTAAAACGTTCCTCGAAGTGTTCTGCCTATCGTCCTAGTCGTCTCCCCTGAGAGTGAATCGCGGATCCGTCCTTCTCCCCTATAGCCTCACTACGTGTTGTTGACCTTTCCCCCCTCCCCGTTTCTTTAATAAGTCTAAATAACTGTCTACTGTTACCAATCGCCGCTGCCTTTTCCAGCTCTTTAGTCTTCGCTGCCCACCGCTGTTTATGGTCGTTACGTAGACTTGTTCTCAACTTACTTTTAAGTTGTGCTCGCTCTTCATTGTAATTAGAGCCTATAGGGAGGCATTCACGTGCATCCATTAGTTCGGAAGCTGCTGATATCCACTGGCTCTTTTCAGCCACTATTTCCGAGTCGGCTACGGTCTTCAGCGCTGCTCTTACAGCAGACTGGAGATGGCACCAAGCTTCTTCTGGATGAGTGATAGTCCTTTGTTCGGATAACTGTCTAACCAACTTCTCACTGAACACGGCTTTGGTATTTCGTTGTCCAGCAGAACTTGTAGTGCCCTCGTTGCCAAATTTTTCTTACGTCCATTGAGACGCAGGCATATAAGCACTCGGACCAACGCGTGGTAGCGATCCAAACACGTACTCCAGAAGGAGTGGCACTCTTCCACCGGTCCTCTCCAACGATGACTAATAGCAATGTGCTTTATCTGTGTCCATCGCTGAGTTGAGCTCAGTGGACGCCACGTCAGATAGTGTCTTTATGTCTGAAACTTGTGCTAGCTAAAAATAGGCGGCTATCTGAGCATAGTTTTAATAAACCATCACTGTTATCTGTACGTTCAGCTGGGATTCCGAAAGTGCCACCTAGGTCAAGTGTCTTTCTGCCTCACTCAGTCTACCCACCTGTGAATTGAAGTCACCTGCAACAACCACCACGTCTGAACCTTTGGCTTTCGAGAGGAGGTTAGACAGTTTACGGTAGGACTCGTCCTTCACTTCATCCGAACTACAGTCAGTGGGTGCGTATGCAGATTTTACAAAGAGACAACGGCGAGTTTCCCTATGCCCTTTAGCTCCCACTGTGCCCTTCAGTCGGATCCAGTCTAGCAGTGAGTTTCCTGCCCTAGTGCTCAATGCTATACCTACACCTGCAAGACCACGAGAGCTAGCTATCGAATCTCCAGAAACTCGAAGTGTGAATTTTGCAGATTCACCAGATTGGTCGGGAGAGGTCAGGTGAATAACCGCACTTGGGTCTTGTATGCGTATCTCACAAACACGGCACACATTCATGGCCTGAGTTGCTAGAGTCTTTGCTAACGAAGCCGGTTGACCAATTTGACGGAGGGTACGTACATTGAAGGCTCCAACAAGTAATTTGGAGCGTGGTTTAAGGAGACCAAGGATGCTGTTCTGTGTACTCAGATCGTTGTCGAAGGCTGCAGAGGTAGGAGAAATTGAAGATGATGCAGCATCATTAATTAAGAGACGTGAAGGAAGATTAGGAGGTAGTGAGGGGGGAGGTGGAGGCAGTCTGAGTGCTGACAGAGTTGTGAGGGCGATTGACACTTCCCGGCTGCCCACACCGTAGAAGGCTATTTCTTCTTAAAGTACCTGAAGGAGATTTGTGTGACCACAGGGCCCATCAGACATCTGCTTGAGGCTTGTCATACGAAGCCTTTAGAGTATGATTGTTTTGAACTTTTCGTATTTTGGGGCCGGATGGTCGAAAAGAAACGACAAATCTACCAACACCGCTGGCCGGCAGACCGTGGGGCATGGTGGAGTGTGTTATTTTGGGACCGACCTTTTCCAACCTCCCCCCCCCTTCTATTAGGAAGGTAGCATCAGCATGGCACTGCTGGTCACCCAAGGGAAACACCTTACTGCTGTCACACACCATCCAGCTAGCAGCAGTGCGACTTCGCCCTCATAGTGCAGTAACTTACACCACAACGGTAACTGCTTTTCGTCTTACCACTATCCAACAGACTTTTCTGGTATGGTAGGGCCTTGAGGAAACAAGAGTTCCACCAGCATAGCTCTTTGGGTCATTGTGATATGCAAGCCCCACCACCACGTCAAGGTAGCGGCTATCAGTGATGAAGGTTCACTACCTCATGAATCGACTTTCCTAGTGGAGCTGTGGCTTATTGTTTTAAGGAGATGACTTTCAACCAATGGGTCACGGGTTCGAACGCTGCTTCACCCACCGAGGCCTGGGCAGCCAGGTAGTATCACTAACCCTCGTCTTGCCTATTACCCTTCGCTTGACCTCAATATTACTCAAATGGTGATTCCAAGAAATGCGATCAATGCTACGAGGACACCTGTGATTTAAAACCCGTAACCGTTTCATGTCTTCTACTTTCAACGGTCGTGTCTCATAGCCGTACAGAAAGACAGAACTGACTGCAGCGCCGTATGTTCGTTCTTTGACAGATGGTTGGATATCCCGCCAGTTGGCGCCACAGATGTCGTATGTTGGCAAATATCAAACGGGAATTATGTATCCAAGCTGAGATTTCGTCACCAACCAGCCTGTTCGAGGTGATGCAACTCCCCAAGTAAGCGAAGTGGTGGGTAAATTCCACCATTTCACTCTCTACCAACTATCTAGGAGTGATGCATCATGTTTCACTTGACAGGTGCGAAAACTCATGGCAGCCAAACATACTCCGGTTTCTGCTCAACGTATTCACACGAGCCTGGATTGCGTCAACGTTTTCATCTACATACTCTAAATGAACCAGATGACCTACAGGGAGTGGTGTTAGACGTACCTAAAGTCATATCTATTGGTACGTCTATAGAGAAGTTAAACTGGGACAGTGACAGCGGGCATCACTGGTG